TCAGGCATGAGAGCCTTCTTGAGGATTTCTTGTAGTGGAGGACTTTTGGTTACAAATTCCCTTAACTTTTGTTTGTCTGGAAAAGATTTAATTTTTCCCTCATATCTGAAGGATATTCTTGCTGGATAGAGTATTCTTGGCTGAAGATTTTTATCTTTTAAAGCTTTGAATATGTCACTCCATTCTCTCCTAGCTTGTAAGGTTTCTGCAGAGAAATCTGCTGAAAGTCTGGTAGGGACTCCCTTGTATGTAATTCTCTTATTTCGTGCAGCCCTGAGTATTCTTTCTTTGTCATTCCTTTTTGTCATTTTTACTACTATATGCCTTGCAGTAGGTCTTTTTACATTGACAAATCTAGGAGATCTGAAAGCTTCCTCTACACACATTTCTCCCTCAATCCCTAGATTTGGGAAGTTCTCTTCTGTAATTTCATTAAGCACACTTTCTGCTCCATTTTCCTTTTCCACGTTCTCGGGAATTCCTATGATCCTTAAATTCTTTCTCCTCATTGAATCTGCTATCTCTCTAATACTTTCCTCATTCCTTTTAATCCTTAGTTCTCTTTCTTCCTCTGTCTGGAGCAATTCAGCTTGTCTATCTTTGATTATGCTAATTTGCTCTTCTATGGAGTCTACCCGGGCATTTAGGGAATCCGTATTCTGTTTTATCTGGTCCATTGTGTTTTTCATCTCTAGTAATTCTGTTTGATTCTTCTTTATAATTTCAATCTCTTTTGTGAAGTAACTCCAGAACTCGGCTTGTTTCTCTATCTTTCTCTCTACCTCCTTGAGTTTTTTTATTATAGCTGCTCTGAACTCATTTTCATTTAGTTTACCTAATTCCAAGTCCTCAGGACTCAATTCTATGTTTTTATTGTTTTCCTTCTGGTCTGGGGCTTTTATAAATTGCTGGATGGTAGAGGAGCGGTTTTTTTCGCATGGTGGTAGAATTCGGTTGCAGCTACCACCTGTCACCACTAGATGGGGGTCAAGAACCGCGTGTTCTGAGCTCTCCACCTTTGAGCAAGACGTGGGCGCCCAGTGCGCTTTGCTGGGGCTGGGGACCGGGGTGGGGGCGGTTTCTCTCGCGCACCGATCTGGATTTGATCAGTTCTGTTCTCTGGTCTCCCGCCCTGCGTTTATGGGGTCCCCGCACACAGCTTTCCCCCATCAGCCGGTTTCCAGTGTACCAGCGGCAGGAGTCCTAGACGATGCCCTGGTTGTGCAGCCCCTCCCCCGCTCCTTCCAGGACCCACGCGGCGATCCCGGTTTCTAGGGGATGGAGCGATGTTCTCTTTTACCCCGTTCCAGCTCCTCCGAGGCGGGCAGTAGGGGCTCCGTCTTCTGTCTTTTGATACTGTGGGTCTCTGAGTCCTGGCATTAGGTTCATTAGCTGAAATTCAGGTGTTTTTTTGGTTTTTTTTTCAGTCCTTTGTTGTACTTTGGAGGGGAGAGAGTCCCGGGTCAGCTCACCCCACCATTTTGCCCATCATTTTTAATTTAATAAAAACATCTTCATGGCATTATTTTAATGGCTACATAGTATTCCAAGGAATATATATATATATCATAATTTGATTACATAATACTCAAATATTGGAGTTAGATTATTCCATTCAGCCAATGCTATAATTCTTAATTCAGGCCACTCAAATATTTAGTAGGTATCCAATAAATATTTGTTGAATGAATGAATAGAGGAATGAATAAAAGATTGTGGGAATGGGATGGGCTGAAAAATCAGTCCAAATGTGGGGGAGAGTTCCAAGAGATGGGATGGGACAAGATGGCCTATTCGAGGTAGTCCCAAGTGCACAAGGATGCAAGTGCAAGTCTGAGCCACAGCCATGAGGGATTTGGGGTCATGGAGAGGATCATGAATGGAAAACCAAGCCAAGATTTAGCAGCCACAACAGAAGAGAGAACTTCAACAAAGCAAGCCAGAAATAAAAAAACAGAGAGTTCATCCAAGGCAATTGGTGTGAATAGCATTAGAGCCCTTTCCCAGTCAATAAAGGTCCATGAACTCATGGCGTGTGGATGGAACAGACTGACCCAAGGCACAGAGATGGAACAGACAGACCCAAGGCTGTAAGGCTGAACTGATAATGTAAGGTTACACTGAAAAACTAGTAGGGTGAACTTAACCATGGTTTTGTGCGTCCAGTTGAATATTTTTCCTACAGTACAATGTTTACAGCAGCAGAATATTTTTTAGAGGACTTTGTGACATCTGTTTTTAAGTGATGTTATATTAAACTAAAGCTATTGTGATGGAGGGGGAGGGCTGTCAATGAGGCCTACTGTATGCCAGAAATAATTTGATTGTATTTTCACTAGAAAAACACTTCAACCAATTTCACAAACTTAATTCTTCAGCTCATAAAACTTTCCTTTATTTCCTTTATTTTTTATTTATTTACTTCTTTGTTTGTACCAAAGCCTGTCATTACAAATTTTATTTTACCAGATAGTCCTTTTTTTTAATCACCAAGATAGAATTTGAATTTTATTTCTTAAAGAACTCTGCTGCAAAAGAAGATTACTTGCTCAGCTCTAATCCACGTCCAGCTAGGTTATAAAAACTAGTAGAATATTAAAAAAAGTTAAAAGATTAATTACAAACTCAGTTATCTTAGGAGTTTATTCTTGTGATTATGGGCTTGTTAACCCTTGGAGAACAGTTTCTTCTGACGTGGAAGACATTTAAATTTAACATTCAATGTCGTATTGTTTTAATAAAATGAAGATGGGGTTTCATTCTCCTCTGTGCCTTTGCTCAAGCAGTTGCGTCCACCTGGAGTGCCTCATCAGGGCAGGAGTCCCCTCATCAGGAAAACACAAACGCTTTCTTCAAGGTCAGCTCAGACATCATCTTCCCCAGGGTGCCATTCCTGACCCCAAGGATGGACCGTGAATTCCTTGTCAGAGTTCTCATTGAGCACTGCCCGTGTTTGTATCGGGCACTTATCAAATTGTCGTGGAACTAGATTTCTATGCTTTTCTCTTCAGTGGACTGTGAGCTCCTGTAAGTTGTGAGCTTCATCTCACTCATTTACACATCCTCAATTCTTAGCACAGAACCTCGAACATAAAAAACATGCAATCAATTTGTGTCGAATGGAACAGACTCCGTTTCCTGCATTGTCTTTGATTTGAGCAAGGATTTATATGGCTTTGTTACTCATAAAAATTATGCAACTAAACTCATGTTTTGAATATTTCATCAGTGTGTATGAAAAAATGGTTGCAGAAAAAATGTCATTTAGTTTAATCCCTTTCACTTACTAAAGTCTCCTAAAATTGCTACATGAATCTCCATGAGCAAAACAGTGAACTCTTACTGGACAAATTATTCCAGGCTTTTTCTCTTCATTTGAAACTTAGATGACTTCATTATCATCATTTAATGCAAATCAGTGCCTATATGATACATATGTAAGATATATCAGTTATCCAGAAGAGGTAAATGGTGACTGAGTCGGGTGAAAGCACAGAAGAGAAAAATACAGGCAACTCTGAAAAGAATAAAGCCAGGCTTCCTTAAGAGAAAGAAGATGAAACTTAGAGGAAAAGATGAGTTCTGCTTTGTAACTGCCTCACACACACACACACGCACACATTTAAATGAAAAATCATTGGAGGGACAAATTAATGAAATAAAATAAGAATATGTTGGTGACCATATCCAAAACTGATTAATATATTAATTGAAAAGCTTCTATACAATTTCCAGCAGGTATCCATCAACTTTAATGAGCACTGTGAGGGGACGCAGGGACACATACACAAAAACTGTAAGATATCCATTTTCTCATTAAACTTAATTCTCTAGATATGAATATAAAGCTAACATACGAAAGAATTAGCAAATACTTGTCGTTCCATAAGCAACCACTGAGAGCTAAATTCTAGAGAGGTTAATCCGTTATGCTACCAGGGTTAGAAAGATTGGAAGCACAAAGAGAAATTACAAAACATAAAATGACAAGAACCCAGGTGTACAAGCGAGAGAACTTGAACCGGATCTCCATGAGGGCACAGTATCTCCAGGGCTTGGCGCATAGCAGCGTCCATTAAATAGTTGCTGAACACAGTAATGATTTGGAAGGCAATGGGCCCAAAGCTCCTGTGAAGGGATTAAGCTTGGAAGGGAAAGTGATGCCTCTGTCACTGAAATAGAAAGGAGTGAAGACAAAAATGCCTTAGGGGAAAAGGAAGGGCAGAAACTTGAGGGCGTTCTTCCGTGGTGATGTCTGTTTTCTCCATGGAGTAAGAGGTGAGGACCTCTTCTGAGGATAAGGGCAGAAGAGAGAATTGAGTATGATCCATTTTCTGGGTTAACTCTGGCCATTAAAGTGAGCCATTTTCAAGACAGTCTTTCACAAATCTCACATTTCAGAATACAAAATCTGTTGGTTAATACTTGAAAGAATACAAATTTAAATAATCTGAGTAGAAGAATTATATTATTTTTGGCAACTTTTAAAAACCTGAAAAAATTCACTTTTAAATAATTTATTCGTACATGTATTTGATATAGATTAACACGTTTGATGTAAATTTATTTTAATAATGTAATAGATTTTGCCTTAGAATTTTAAAAGTTTAATCATAGAATCAAAAAAACTATTGGTCGGCCCGGCCCCGTGGCCGAGTGGTTAAGTTCACGCACTCCGCTGCGGTGGCCCAGGGTTTCGCCGGTTCGAATCCTGGGCGCGGACATGGCACCACTCATCATGCCATGCTGAGGTGGTGTCCCACATGCCACAACTAGAAGGACCCACAACTAAGAATATACAACTATGTACTGGGGGGCTTTGGGGAAAAAAAGGAAAAAATAAAAATAAAAAAATAATTTAAAAAAAAAACCCTATTGGTAACAAATCCTAAATGTTTAGCAATTTGGTATTGCTGAGTGACATAGCATGTGTAAAAATAGAGACTTTGACACTGCCTATAGTAAACACTTTATAATAAGCTGTTTAATTAATCCTTCAGGTCCAAAAATGGTAGAGGTCCAGAGCCAACAGTTTCAGATCAACTCCGAGGATGGCAAACCACTATTTACTGTCGATGAACAGGAAGTCGTGGTTGGTACAGATAAGCTTCGAGTAACTGGTATGTAGTAGCTCTTTTGTTTTAATTGAGATATAATTGACATATAACATTATATTAACTTTAGGTGTACAACGTAATGATTTGATATTTGTATATATTTTGAAATGATCACACAATAAATCCTGTTAACATCCATCACCACACCTACTTACAAATTTTTTTTCTTGTGATGAGAACTTTTAAGATTTACACTCCTAGCAACTTTCAGATATACAATACCATATTATAACCACAGTCAGCATGCTGTACGTTACATCCCAGGACTTCTTTATTTTATAATTGGAAGTTTGTATTTTCTGACCACTTTCACCCATTTTGCCCAGCTCCCACCTCTTGCAACCACCAATCTGTTCTCTGTATCTATGAGTTTGTTTTTGTTTTTGGATTCCACATATAAGCGAGATCGTACTGCATTTGTCATTCCCTGCATTGTCTGACCTACGTCACTTAGCACAATGCCCTCGAGGTCCATCTATGTTGTCATTAATGGAAATATTTCCTTAGTTTTTAAGACTGAATAATATTTCATTGTATATATATATACCACATTTTCCTTATTCAATCATCTGTAGTAACTCTTGAGAAAAACAATAGCCTGTGGAGTGCACTCCTGCAAAAGGAAATTGTACGTTTGGCAAGTTTACTCTGGACTCTTTCATACAGATAAGAAAAAGTTTGAATTTGTTGACTTTTCTTCATGGCATTTCTTTTGAAATTCTTTGATACTCTTCTAGAAGAGTGAAATTCGTCTCGCAAATCTTTGCCCACTATTTTCTCCCACCGTATTATTGCCCTCTATCTCTCTGCAATTGGTGTGGCCCAAAGGCTTATCATAAATTCCTCTATCATCTGTGTGATAGTCAAGTAGCTGTTTTTCATATGACTTTTGTAAAACCCTCCTCCACGTTACTTTTACTCCCATGATATCAGGTACTTGGATTCCCTGCACTCTTAGAAAAAAAAAACTTTTCTTTCTTTGAAATAAAGATTGGATAAGGTTCTGATAGGATTCATTTTTAGAACTGAAAAGAAGAAATTTTGTTTAAAAATTGTTCAGAACATGTTCTAAATTTACTTACCGACCTTCCATAAAGAGTAGAAGGCATAAAAAGGCAGACGCTAGTTAAATTCATCTCAATGCTTTTATGTACTATTCTGAAAACTAGTAACAACTTTATTCTCTCACAGATTATTACCAGTAGTCATAAATGAAAAAGAAATAATGCTCTCTGACCTAAGAAATAGACTCAACTCTAATACAAAGTTTTATGTAATATATAATTCCTAACAAAACAAACTGTAAAAATCATAACCTATGTTGCAGCCTACTCGAAGGCTATAGGGTCCTCGGTTTGCTTACTAAAATAAAGGACACTAGAAAAATCTAATTAAAGGAAATTGATTATTGCCTAATAAAGAAATGGCCATGCTGCCCAAGTGCCTTGGTCATCAGAAATCCATTGTTGTGTGGTACAGAGAATATGGGCTTTGTAAACCTAGATCGTATTCCTACCTCAACAATTACTAGCTGCAAGACCTCAGGCAAGTTACTTAATATCTGTTGGCTGTTTCCTCACTTTTACAAATGGATTGACAATATCTACTTACTACTAGTGCTGGATTAAGTGTATTAATGCATGCAAAGGACAGCAAAGGTCTTGGTTGAGTGTTATTGTGCTACAAGGCAATAAAATCTATAGGGAAAATAGTCTAAGAAACAGCTTGGATTGCTTCAAACCCACTGATGCCTGCACAGAGCATCAGTGAAGCGAAACTTTTCCTAGCCCAGGGCTCCTTCCAGGCCATGATGTCAATTAGTGGAACAGGTGAGAAAAATTGATAAGCAACGATATTATTTATTACCTGCATGCATGTATCAGAATTACCTGGAGGGCTTGTTGAAATATACATTGCTGGGCTTCATGCTCAGAGTATCTGACCCCGCAGGTCTGGAATGGGGCCTGAGAATCTGTATTTCTTAGCTGATGCTCCAGTGCCAGGGACTTCACGTTGAGAACGACTGCCCGACAAGAACGTGACAGAGTCAGTGGGAGAAGCAACATGTCAGCAACAAGTGACACTCCCTCTGGCACATACATTCAAGTTATCCTTTTTAAAGGTGCCATATTCTTCTTCTCTTTCATAATTTTTTTTTTAATCTCAGGCACAAATTTCTTCCAAACTCCTCTTCTCTCCAGTTAAGCTAATTAGAGCAAATACACTCAACTGTAATTACTATATAATTTCCTTGTCATTATGCCATTAAAATAGTATAGAGTTCTTGCTACCAGGGTGACCATGAGTGTTGAGCGTGTGAACAGCACGATTTTGACCCAGACCTAATTTTTCTCAGTTTTCCAATATGTTCTTGGCCTCCCTAAATTTTGTGATTAAAGAAATGCAAGAAATTCCACAATTCCGACTCTTTCCTTTTCTTCCCCTCTCTATCCAAGGTTTGACTCTCTCTGTCTCTACGTCTAGCTCAGGCGTTCTCAACCTTAACACTATTGACATTTTAGGCTGGATAATATGTTTGCTGAGGAAAGGGACTGTCCTGTGCATTTCAGGATATTTAGCAGCGTCTCTGACCTTTAAGAGCATTCCTACCCCCCTCCCTCACAAGTTGTGAAAACCAAAATGTCTACAGACACTGCCAAAAGTCTTTTTGGGGGTTCAGGTGCAAAATCACCTCTTGAGAATCACTGGTCTGCCTTAAACCTGTACTGTTTCTCTGGAAGTTATTAACATTTATTAAGTATTTACTATGTGTTAGTTATTAAGCTAAATACCTATAGTGCAAAATCATTAAGACATTTTCCCTTTACATGATGTTTATATTTTAGCTGAGCTATAAACTAAACAGACAGTAATTTGTTAGACGCAGTCTGCTAAGGACTGTAATTGATGTTTGGGCCAAAGGCTACAGGAGCAGCCTGGAAAAAGGGATCAGCCACGCCATAGTATGATGGAAAGAGAGACAGAGTGGGTCAGAAGAGTTTTCTCAAGGAAAGAGAAATTTGAGCTCATCCTAGGAAGATGAGTAGTTTATCAGGAAGAAAAAGTAAGGATTGCCATTTTAAATAGAGGGTAGCACCTGAATGGATATTAACAGACCATAGCTAAAAATAGTAATGGATAGCTTTTTGAGAAGCAGACCGAGTTCCAATCCCAGCTGTACCCCTGACTGACTGTGTGACCTTGAGCGAGAATTTCACCTCTCAGAGCTTCACACAATAGCTCCAAGCGTTTTTACCCACTGGTCTCTCATTGACTGGAGGAGATCGTACAGAATCCAACAAAGCAAGTGCAAATTGATTGCAAAATGAAATTGCAAGTCTTGCAAAAGACAAAGGGTATCTGGAAGTCAAAAGTGATGTAGGAATACTGGAAACGTTACCACAAACAAAGTGCGTTCACCGCCTGGCGAGTTAAATCAGACTCTCCACCAGAAGTAAGTTCTCTGACAGAGTAAGGTATATTTGCAGCTAATAGGAGACCGCATGGAGTCATTTCCAAAGTCATGGCGTCCCCAAACAAAGGGAAGCAGGGACATTTATTTTGGATGGGGAACGAATATTCAAAAGGGAGAGCTGGGTATTCACTTGCGCAGGCTCAGTTGGAAAACATGCTTCCGGTACACTGCAGGTGATGGTGATAAGGCCTAAGCTCCTCCTGGAGAGACCGAAGCATTAAAAATGAGGCAAAGGTCATAGACGTAGCTCTTGTGGTGAGGCTCCAGTTCAGGATGGTTGGTGATTGCATCTCCTTAACATAACAAAAGGAAAAAAACAATTTGGAAAAACAGTTAAATGCTTCCAAACCCATTTTTGAGATCCTCAGGGCAATTAGTTGGTACCAAATACCAGTAACAAAAGAGGACCTAGAGAGCCAGACCTGCCAGCAACTGAAGAAGTGAAAATAAACACAGATGATGACCTGATAGGTACTTCGAAGATCACCCATTTTAATATCACAAGATTAAAATGTTCACCTTGGAAAGATTGACAATACCCTCAATTTGACTGTTCTTATGGTTTTACTGCATATGTTAAACATTATGTGAACAATGCCGTATTGTGCCACTGTGGGAGGCAGAATTCTAATGGTGATCCAATGACCTTTGCCCTTGTAAAATTCGCTCACCTCTGAGTGTGGATGGAATCTGTGAATATGATGAGATATCATTCCCATGATTATGTTATTTATATGGCAAAATGGAGATTGCCTGGGTGGGCCTAGTCTAATCACAAGAGCTCTTTATAAAGCAGAGAGTTTTCTCTGGCTGGTAGTAGAAGGGGAAGTCAGAGAAATTTGAAGTGCAAGATGGATTTGTTGCTCTGTTGCTGTATGAATATGAAGGGGGCCATGTGCCAAGGAATGTGGTGGCTTCTTGAAGCCTAAAGAGGCCCTTGTCTGACAGCAAGAAAACGGGGCCTTAGCCCAAAACCAAGAGGAAATGTATTCTGCCAACAACCTGACTGACCTCGGAAAAAGATTCTTGCCTAGAGCCTCCAGAAAAGAGCCCTATCTGGCCAACACCTGGATTTTGGCCTGGTGAGACCCTTGAGCACAAAACCCAGGCAAGCCCACCGGGAGGACTTCTGTCCTAAAGAACTGTGAGCTAACAAATTGAAGCTGGTGGGGCCAACCCAGTGGCACAACAGTTAAGTTCACGCACTCTACTTCAGCGGCCTGGGGTTCACCAGGTCGGATCCCAGGAGCAGACTTATACACCGCTTATCAAGCCATGTGTGGCAGGCATCCCACATATAAACTGAAGGAAGATGGGCACAGATGTTAGCTCAGGGCCAAGCTTCCTCAGCAAAAGGAGGAGGCTTGGTGGTGGATGTTAGCTAAGGGCTAATCTTCCTCACACACACAAAAAAAATTGAAGCTCCCCACCTGAGGGTTACTGTAAATATTGAATAAGATTACCTTTGGCCTTGTTATGAAAAGAAGTTAATCTTGTCAATTTGCTGTTTTCCTGTTTAACCTGAGGG